TATTTGTCAGCTGGACGACACTTAAAGCGATTGCTCTAAATTTAGGAAAATTATCCTTTCTAGCGAGAAACTTGATATTTTCGTTCATCTTAAAATTTATTTCCCCGTCAATCTTAGACAAATGATAGTTATATCAGCATATCTGAATTTTTATTTTTATTTTGAGTTGTAAATGATGCTGTTATTATATAACTGATATCTAGCCATGCTTTTATTTATTTATTTTTTTTAAATCGACTTGAATTTAAAGTGAAAATAGTTCATGAATTCACGACTTTAAGATCAAGACATGTTTCATTAAAATGAAACAACAAAGCAAAATAACGACTTTCTTTTCTGGCAAAATATGTCTCCAGATGCAATGATATTTAGTCATATTTTTATTTTATTTTTCAAAATCAACATGATTTTAAAGTGTGCAATTTAGAAATTCCTGACGCACCACTCTAATATTATAACATGTATTAAAACGAAACGACACGAGTCAGAATAATATTTTTTCTCTTCTGAAAAAATATCTATTGATGTTTAATCATTTTTTTCTGAACCAAATGAAATTCCAAGTTTGTGAAATTCATAAATTCATGACACGTAAGACATGTTTTATTTCTTTGAAGCGACATTTGCTTCCTGGAAAAAATATTTGACGAGATAAAATGAAATCTTGCTCTATTTTTATTTTAATTTTTCAATTAATTTTAAGTACATACAATTTATGATATCAGAACGCGAAATTCAAAGATCAAAACATATTTTATTGAAAAGATATAGCAAAACGATATAGCATTTTGTTTTTTTAAGAAAATATCTATTCAGATATAATGATATCTAGCATATTTGCTTTTTACTAAATCAAATTAAATTTAATGCCTGTATATTTAATTCCAACTCAAATACTAAGACATATTTTATTAAAATGAAGCTACAAAACAAAATAACATTTTGATTTCCTCGAAAAATATCTCTCCAGATATAATTAAATTTAACTGTAAATCAATTAATTTTTTTTATAAGTTAATTTAATTTTTAAGCTCGTGTATTTCTTGAATTTATGACACATCGCTAGATCGCGAATTTATTTCATATGTTTCATTAAAAAGAAGTGACAAAATATAGAAACAATTTTGACTTATTGGAAGCAGTATCGATTCCGATGTAATGATATTTAACCATGCTACAGTTTTTTTTTTATAAATTAACTTAATTTTTAAGTATGTGTAATTCATGAATATATGACTCACAAATAAAAGATTAAGATATGTTTCATTAAAAGAAAGCGACAACGGTCAGCGAAATTTTGATTTTCAGAAAAAATATCGATCCAGATATAATAATATCTAATCATGCTCTAGATTTCTTATAAATCAACTCAATTTTTTTCCAATGCCTGTCTGAAAATATCTACAAAATTGGAACTTTTTTTCAATGTCCACCCGAATATTAACATTCTTCACTCGGGTATCTGAAGGACAGATTTGTTGGCCACTCTTTCAGGGGCACCATATTAGGTGGGCCAACGTTGCCCCCACAATAAGGACAGATAGTGCAGAGAAGGAAAGAACACCCATGCCTTGCTCGGGATTCGAACCCCGAACCTTTCTGATTCAAGGCCTGTTCCCTGATCCCTACACAGGTAGATCGGCAAAAAATCAACTTAAAAATAATGGCAAAGAATAAAACGACTTAATTATTAGTGCGTAAAATTCATGAATTTACGAATCACAACTAAAAGATTAAGGCATGTTTCATAAGTGGCAAAATATTAAAAAAAATAGATTTTCTGTACAAACATCAATCTAGATATAATGCTATTCAACTATGCTTCACTTTTTCTTCATCACAAAACTTAATTTTTAAGTACACATAATTCATAAATTTATGAAGCACAACTGAAAGATTATAATATGTCTTATTAAAATGAATTAATTAAGTTTGTTGTGAATTTATGCTTCCTTTTTCATTATAGAAAGCTTGATGTTGCTATAACGCCGTCCTTCGGAGATGATGACATTGCTTTAGAGAGGCATGTAAAGCTTTATAAAAACTATATATTAATTTTATTTTTCCAGCATGCAAGTCAAAAAATAATTTATTAGATCAAATTTCTAAAAGACCAGGTATATTTTTTTTAACGTCATGCATCTATTTGTTTGCAAGCTCTTTCTATTCGATATGTAATTTTCATTTTTCTTTGCTTTTAACAAAGACTTTATTAAGACTCTTTTAGTATTTCGATCGCATATACATCTTGTCAATACACATTTAAAATTTCGTACTTTTATTATTATAAACTCACTTTTAATTAGTATGCATCTCAAGAAAATGAATTTTTGTAAGCAGAATAATAAATTCTATACCCAAATAGTGTTCATTCATTTGGCAAGTAGGAAAATTTCTTTAGAAGTCTGATTTCTTTCTTGCGTTTAGAGTAATTGGACAGAACACTGTTTTTCTAAATATAAAACTTAACAATAGAAGATATTTTGAATAATACAATGATGGAAATAAAAAATATATTTTCAATCCAAATATTTGATATGATCGGATAAAAAAAAACTTACATTTTTTTATACCGAGACAGATAACATTATACAAAATTTATTTTTGTTGCAAAGTTTACGAAATAAACAAAGAATTAAGTTGCAGAAGGTCCTACAGTATTCATACGGAAAAAATGAGATTTTTGGGAGAAAGATTTACTTTTCGTCCCTCTTAACTATCCAAAATTACTTTATTTCTAAATATTTTTAAATATCATAGTTCGCTAAGGGTTAAGATTCTGAACAATAATCTTTTAGTGTTTTTAGTGTGAAAAAAGTTTTCAAGTGCGTTTGTATTGTAAAAAAAATTACGCTCAAATTCACGGAATTTCCTTCGTTTTTGACGAAACCGTTTCCTGGTATATGCTCGAAGTAAAATTATCTTCAAAGTGACGAAATAACTGTCGTCACTTCTTCGAGGAATTTATCGTATTTCGTCAAAATTAAAGACTTATTTTGCAACTCTATTTTTTTCCAAAAAATAATAGTATAAGATAGTATGACAACTAATAGTAATATAGGGAGAAAAAAATCACAGGTGGCAAAATGGTTAGTGAAACATTGGAAAAATGGTTGTTGTTTAATTTTTCTCCCGTCTACGTTCTTTGGCTTTAGCTTCTTCAGACTCGGAAAGTTCAGGCCTTGTCATCGTTTTTTTTTCTTGCTTCAACTCTAACCTTTGGGACCGTGTCGATCAGTTTAGGACCCTCTTTATTTTTGATATTCACCTGAATTAGTATTGAAAACGATCCAGTTTGAACTGTAGGTAAGAATTTCTGATTCTTAATTAAAACAAAAATATCGTTCAAATGATGAAATTCTCTTTTTTTCACAACTCAAGAAGTATTTATGGCATCTCTCTGGTCCTGCATCTCAAAAATAAACTGACAAACTTATTGCATAACAAAATTAAAAGTGAAAAATAGAATTCTAAAGAAATTACCAAACATCAGCGGTCGCCATAACAACACATACAATGACGACGCATGCGCACTGTTTACTATTACTCTTGAACACAGTTGAAAAGTGTGATGACGTCCAAATAAGGTGCACATGCCATCAAACTCAAAACAAGACCCATTTTGCCATTGGGTAAAAAAATCACAACCTTGTAGCTCTTAATGTATCTAACTGTTATAATAGTCACTTTATCGTGAACGCCACACTGGTGGATCAATGTCGGCAAAACAAAATACGGGCAGATAGAACAGGGAGATAAATTTCACATTTGCCCGAAGCGAGATTCGAACCTGGGATCTTCCCAGAACAAGGCCGACTCCTTGATGACCTTCATTAGAATACCTTTAAAATAAAAAATGATCAATGTTCGAATGCGTTCATCTCTTTAATTATTTATTATGCATTCTTAGTTTCTGTTAAGAATAAGCGAACTAAAATAACTATTTCTTACTAACTATCACTTATTTTTTTGCCTCATAACTATTTTGTGTTTTAATTAAAATACTATATATTTTATAATAGATATTAAAATTATTTTATTTTTAAAGTTTTATTAAATTTATAGATTTGTAAACATACTTTTCTGGCGAATTTCAGCATAGTTCACTAATAGTTTACTTAACTAGTTTTTAAACTATTTCGTAAACGTGACACAAATAACTTAAAAGCCTTGAACAAGACCTGTTTTAAAACATACAAATTATGAACAATTGCCATATCGGAAAATTTTGCAATTAACTAATTAGTTTAACAAAAATATTGGATTTGCCGAAAGGTAAGAAGAACACTAATTAAGTTAAACTCAAATTTGTCGTCATTATCTTTTACGGGATTAGCTTTATTTGCCGTTGGCACTTACTTACAAAATTGACACTCTATTGCTTAAAACGTTATAGTCACTTAATTTTGCCCCTGACAGGATAATTTAGTATATCACGCTAACTAAGCTTCGAGCCTGTAGGTCGTGTTTTGTAAACAAGAAATTTATTTAGTGATTTTGTTGTAAATTCCATTTATTTGTGTTCACTGAAGTTTTATTTATTGAAATTATGCTGTGGTGGTGTCTGTGAGTGGTCTTGGTGTGATTTTGATGAGTTAATTTGTGTTTCAAAGAAGTGTCAACTATCGGCAAGATGGCGGCGTGGCAGCCACGTTGCGATTTGTGTTGATAAATCTATAATCATCAGTGTTTTTGTGCCCGATGTTTATTTGATCTGCCAGTGAATCATTTAAAAGGATATTACTGCTCGCAAGTAAGTGACTTATCTTGAATGTTCGGATTTACTGTGCTTGAATATACTGTGATCTAATGCTGTTTACCTGTGAGTGTGATTTACATATAATTTGAATATTTATATGAGGGATCAGTCACAAGTGCAAGTGTCGAATTGCCTACAATAGCCTAGGGGGACGATTACCAAATTGCATCTTGGTTGATACATTCGGGAGTTGTGTACATATTGCAACCTGTCCCTAGATTAGGGGACCATTTAAATNTAAATATTGCTGTGTGATAGGGGACCATCTACATACTGCGCTTTGGATATTGTTCCTCAGTGGTCGTCTATAAATTGCGGATGGTCCCGGATTTGAGGGACCATGTACAAATTGTGATATTTCAAGAAAATTTTATTTTGAAGATTTGAGCTTTGGGGGCTACCCGATCCAGGGGTGCGGGATATGGATGTTCAGGAGGAGCCAGATGAACAGGATGAACCTTTGACAATAAAACCTGGTATAGATATCTACAACAAAATGAGAGAAGTATTGAGAAGAGATAAAGGCAGAGTAACTCAGGCGGACAGGGACACATTAATGGGCTATATGGATGATTTCATGGAACTTCTATCAAGCCAGAACACTAGGATCGCAATGCTTCAAATCAAACTGGCTGACCTAAATGAATTAAATGAGACACATCTGGATCCGTTGATAGAGGATTCGAATAGAAGAAATAGGGAGTTTAAGAAATCCTATGCAGACATAGTAAGGAATAGATCTAGGACTCAGTTTGGGTCGCAGCAACAGGAAAGAGAGCACATAACAATCATTAGACCAATTGAGGAGGGATGTTCATCTGATAAAACACGCTCAGACATAATAAATGGGCTAGATCCAGCCCACTTAAGAGTAGGAATCAAAAAAATAATAAACATCAAAAACGGCGGAGTACTGATTCAAACCGATAAACCGGATGGAATTGACTGTATCAGACTTGAAATGGAAAAAACCAAACTTACTAAAGAGTATAGAGTAGAGGCTCCAAAATTAAGATTACCAACAGTCATACTGTTCGGAGTAGATGAGGAAGTGGAGGCTGAGGAATTGGAGAGTACTTTGTGTAAACAAAATCCAGAGATTGAAGAGGATCATGTTAGAATAATTGCAGGATTAAAAGTCAGAAACAAAAAACGCCATTGGATTCTCGAGATAGCACCGGCGAGTTTTAACAAAATAAGATACAAGGATAAGCTAAATTTGTACTGGAGAAGACATAATTTCGAGGAAACATTTGGCATACGTCAGTGCTATAAGTGTGCGGGAATTGGGCATGTAGCAGCAAATTGCACCAATAGCCAAATATGCAGACATTGCTCATCAACCAACCACATGGAGAGTGCATGTGATGATAGGCCGCACTGCTACCATTGTGAGAAGGCGAATCAGAAGTATAGGTTGCGGTTGGAAGAGGATCATTCACCATTTGATAGAGAGTGTCAGCAACATATCAGAGCTCGAAACAGACAAATGAAACGAACCAAATATGATTAGTAGAAACAACAATATAATTAATTTCGGTCATATAAACTTGCACCACTCCTCACCAGCCAACCTTCAATTCAATGAGGATTTCACAAATCTTGATGTCTACGTCGCCAGTTTAAATGAGCCTTACTATAATCAGGAATCAATTATCACTGGATTCTCTGTGAAAAATAAGTTGTACTTCCATAAAAACAAACCGCGTTCAGCAATACTGCTGAATGGGGAATTGATCAATATCTTTCCGGTGCTTATCTCCAGAGATATTTGTGCTGTTAATTTCACACACAAAAATATTGTTTATTTGTTCATTTCCATCTATATCTCTCCGAATGAGAACATTATGGATAATCTTGGTACACTGGACTCCCTCCTCACCAAATACTCTAGCTCAAGAATTATACTCTGCGGAGACTTGAATGCGAAGTCTGTGGCGTGGGGACCGAGGAGCGACCACAGGGGCGATATTCTTCTTGAATTTCTGATTAGAAACGACCTTGATGTAATTAATGATCCGGATTGTCCCCCCACCTACAACTCTGTGCTTGGTCAGAGTTGGATTGACATCATAGCTAGCAACATGAGTGAAATTAGAGATTACAGGGTTCATGATGGTATTACCTGTTCCGACCACGAATTATTACTAGCCTCAATTGATACAGGTGGCCAGGCGGGCAATGGACGTGGATCAACCAAGACCATTAAATACCAAAGACTTAACTGGATAACACTAAGAACTGGCTTAGATAAGTTGGTAAATGACTACAGGGTTGTCAAATGTGACACCACCTCAGAACTCAATGAAAGGATTGGAGAAATGACGGCAGAACTCCATAAAACATGCAGGAACGCAACTACGAAGCTCCCGAATGGAACCATTAAACATTGCCCATGGTGGTCACCCTCTATCCACGCCTTTAGAAAATTTGTCAGAGCCTTGAGACGTAAATACCAGAAAACAAGTGATGAAACTGCTAGAAGAGAATACAGGATCAAATACAAGCTGAATCTGGCAAAGTACAAAAAGACCATCAAAAGAGCCAAGATAGACCATCTCAAAAATTATCTCGGTAA